CTTTTCTATTGGAGGAAAGAAACTGTCCCCCCCATCCACAGCTGTGAATGTGACTTTAATGGAAGTGACACTTGAAAGTTAAGGGTTAGTGCTTAGGTGGCGGTTTAGTATTCAGCCCTCATGTATGTTTCTCCCTGGCGTCTCCTACTTTTGGTTCCCCGTTTATCATTTCTGGATTTGTTCTTCTGTTACCATCAACCTCTACATTATATCAGCAAGAAATAACTTCTGCCTTTTCATCTTTGCATTTTGGTCCTCACCTAACTTTCATTAAACTTGACACCTTGCTGCTGTTCTAAACTGTTACATATTTTGCCCATGAACACAGGGGGCACTGGCAGACTTTTCTTTTAAAGCAAAGCATTATAAGCTATTGAAGTCTTCTTTTCTCTGGAATACCTTTGTTACAAAACAAATTACTAATGTTTTAAAAATAATCTTGCTTTTTCAGTTTCGCCTTAATGATTTAATAGTAAAAAGGAGGATGAATATCCTGCCTGAGTGCACCCAGATCTTAATTTCTTTAAGTTAGCATCAGAATGCCTTTATTTGTCATTGTGCAGAGCTCAACAAAATTGGTTTCCAATTAACACTTCTAAGAGACAGAACACAACACCATATACTACAACAAAGCTTAGTGATGCTGCTGAGAATTTAAATATTTTGTGATGGTTTAAATTGCCCCTTGGGACAAATAAAGGAATCTGAATTATAGTGTGTAATAATATTTTTTTTGCATATTTAAAATCTGAACAATTCTGCTGTTAATCTTACAGTAAGCGAATAATATTTTGGTCAGGTCCATCAGCAGTATGGCACATCTATGGGAAATACTCTGATGTATACAGACTTAGTTTAACATGGGAATATTTTACACTTAGGCCTATATGGATACAGATCGGTGCACCAATCCAGGAGAATCAAAGTAAATGGTAAACTTCTCAAAGAAAAATGTTTACGGCGCTTGTACAGCGGCAGAGAGAATACACACATTTCCTCATATATGGCTCCTCAGCCTACAGCTACAGACTGTTCCTTAGAATAGTCAGAGATCAATATATTGTCTTTTTTGAACACTTATAGTATAAACATGTGGTGTAGGAATTTGCTCCTATCTAAACTCAATGCTTGGAGTATAATCAGATACTATGTTACCTTATAAACTTTTAATACCTTCGCCTTTCTTAGCTGTCCTATTAAAATACAGGCATCAAAATATGGAGGACTCACATCAGATTCCGAATATTTCTTCACAATCTCATCATTTCCACTTTCTAGTCCTCTACCTTCACTTTAATCATCAATGTAGCACTATCAGTATCACGTTAAAAAGAGCTTGGAGGAATTTAAGTGATGGGGATCTGTACAGCGAACTTCTTATTGCTGAGGGTGCCTTATTATTATTATTACCTTAACCTGCCTGGACAAGACATATTATTTTTCACTATTCACCCTGACCTGATAAAAGTAAGCGGAATATTGTATTATAAGACAGAAGCATTCCCTTTTCTACTCACCTCCATATATAAAAGCAAGTCTTTTAATTCACAGCATGAGAACATATTTTGTACTTAAGCTCCAGCATGAAAAACCCATGCATTCTTTTGGTCTACCTGTAATTATTGTGAATGAGCAAGTTAAGAGATTCCAATAGTTTCCTGGCATATAATGATCTCTATGTGCAAAAGTCATTTTTTGAGAAAATGGATGGTTTGTTTTGATGAAGCCAGAGGTGTGGCAGGACCCTGTGCATGTTGCACCTAAGGATGCTGGTTCAATAGGAGAGGGCTGCAGGTTGTCAAGTATGGTAAATCGTAAATGGCCCTGTCAGTGAGCCCCTTGCACAGGGGCTCACTGACAGAAGCAAGGCTCTGTAAGTGTGTGACCACCATCAGTAGACAATGCAGGTAAAGTACCTTGCTCAAAGACAAAACAGCACTGAAAACCGGAGCCGGGGCTCAAACCTACAACCCTCCAATTTCAGGACAAACTCCTGCAAGCGAGGCCACTGTCGCCCTGTGCGTCAATCCTTACTAATTAAAAGGCATGTGATTGATTTCTGCCTTCTTCTCTTTAATGTTATTGTAATCCTGGGAGAAATATTTGACCCCGAATTGCCCCCAAGTGAACGAACATATGCATGTGCGGCTGGGTGAATGTGACTATAGAATTAAAGCTTTCTGATTGGTCAGCTTAAATAGAAAGTTGTTAAATAAATGATTCAACAGCTAGATTCTCATTTAGTTTGTAAATAGATATCATTTAAAGTTATTTTACAAATGGAAGACAAATATTTCCACTGATTACCGTATTTTCACGACCATAAGGCATACCGGACTAAAAGGCGCACTCTCAGTTATGTGTCCCATTTCTGTATT